TATTTAGCACTATCAATGGTTCACTACTTTTCCTTCCTTGGATCGTTCCGCTTAACTGGGAAGACAAGATAAGAGCTCCAGGTTTGGAACTTCTCTGACCTAGTCACCCCAATTTTATCTTTGGTAATATCTCGCTAAGGAGTTCACTGATGCTTTTCTTTGTCCTTCTAACAGACCAACTTCAGACAAAATGTTCTTTTGCTCCCGGTTATACATCGTTCTTAGCAATATCCATAAGTTTGCATGTTTATCACTTTGTCATCCATTCACCCATCCATTTTCTGTATACTCTTGGCTCTAGTGGGGTTGGGAGGTGCTGGTGCCTCTCCAGCTAACGTTCTGGGCAAGAGGTGGGGTACACCGTGGACAGATCACCTGTCAGTCACAGGGCATATCACTTTATCAAGGAATCTTTATTTTTAAGTACAGAAAGTCTGTACTTAAGATTTGAAGTATGAGTCATACAGGAAGGTGTCTTCCAGGTTTCCAGTTTTCCACAAATGACTTTCAGATATTGTAGATGTATATTTATAGGCCAGACAGTTTGTTTCTAGTGAAAAATAAGTTCAAAAGAAGTTTGCAATGCAAAGGAAAATAATGTTCAATGGGACATTTTATGCCTTAAAAACTCCAGAAGCAATTACATAAGGCACTGATGTGATGAATGGACAGAGATTTTCACAGTGCTACCTCCATTTATTCACTCAAGTCAACACCACATACATCCCCCACAAAAATGGCAGGAAAAAGTCTCAGGAAATTGACTTTTCATTCAAGCACCTTTCACCCACTCCCTCATTCCTGCAAGAAATCAACACACAACCCTGTGAGAGTAATGAAGAAAGGAAAAAAAAAAAAAAAAGGAAGTTTATCCACTTTTAGTCTGGTTAGTTGCTTGCCCACACACAAAATACAGATGGGCTGATACCACAAATACACCAGTTCTTAAGCATTCAGCAGTCTCACGCATCAGGGTGGTGTTGTGGTCAAGCCATATGGGGCGCCACAGAAACTGTGGGATTTGACAGGAGGCCTAAAGAACACACATACGCACATGCATCTTAATTGACTTGTAAAAACTCCACTTGAGCACAATTTTATAGAACAAATTTCAGACTAGTCGCTGAGGATTTGACATCAGGTTGTGCCTAGCTTGCAATTCTGTCACAACCACAATTTCTTTATATACATTCCTAGAGCAATTAATGCTTTTTAAGATAAAACTGAAAAAGCCATACGAAAGACGCCATGAAAGCGGGAGATTAATAATCTAAACGTGTCTGCATAAAGTAAGTCTGACTTATATGAAGGAGATTAGTGCAAGGGAAGATTTATCGAGCTGCACAGTCCGGTAGGGGAAGTCGACAAGGTTTCTGAAAGGAAATAAATGACCTCTCACTCTTTGCAAGCTGACAGCTCAGGCTTTGGTGCTACTTCTCTACAGTCCTTGTGATGCTCATACTGCTCTTTTTGTTGTTGGAGGCATTCATTCGAAGGCCAAAACCGCAACAGCCAGTCTAGGCAAACACAATTGGAGCTGTGATTTATGAGCGCTGTTGACTTTGTGGTAATGGATCAAGCGTTACCCGCTGGAAATGCTGGCAGGGCCATTAACCCCAGTTTCTCCAACCTGTGGTAGAGTTGGTAGCAGACACTAGCATTCAGATTGTGGAGAGGTGTAAAGCGGATGTGATTTTTCACAACCAGACCAAAACCCAACTAGGTCTCAGTCTAAAGGTTCCCCTTATAACTTGTTAAATACCTCTACAAGATTTACCAAAGTATGAGACAATGTAAAAAACATCAAACATAGAAAAGCAAATCACATGTAATTTGATTTGTTGGGTGGGATCTGAACACTTGTTACTGGCTTTATCTTGCCTGGGTTCTACACCGCTTTACTTTGTCTTTGTCCTTGTAAAATTTGAAAGTGGCTGACTTCATACAGTTTTAACAAAAAAGATTTATCACACTAATTTTTTGCTTTTCATGTAGCATAATTAGTTAAATTATGAACTGTTACAGTGCCTGCAAAAGCATGCATAACCATTGAATCTTTTCCCAGTTTGGCACATAATCACAAATACTTTAAGCATATTTTACTGGGCTTAGACCAACACTTTGTGTTAGACCAACAAAGGGCACTTCATAAATGTGAAAAGGAAGGAAAATAACACATGGTTTTCTGTAAAATCTGAAAAGCTTGCATGCATTTATTGTCTGTCCCCTTTATTCAGATACTCCTAAGTAAAATCCAGTGTGGCTGTTTACTTTCAGAAGACTTACTCATGTTCATGACAGGTATTATGTCATAACAGTCTTTTTCACAACTCATCAAATAAAGTGTTACCGAAGTCGTCTTATTGGTCTTGTTTCAGAAGACTCCACGCAGGTGTAATTTAGTGCCAAGATAAATTCAGATTTTTATAAGCTCAATTAACACACCAGACCAGTCCGGGATAAAGTGATAATAATAAAAACAATATCCACATTTTTGAACATCTCATTGGTAAGAAGAGTATTACTCACAAAATCTGGAGCTTTGGAGGAGATGCAGAGATCCATAGCTCAAGTGAAAGAATCTTTTGACTGGGCACCGATGAGTTTTGTGTGGTTTGAACTTTATAGACGAGTAGTTAGCAGAAAGCCATTGTTGAAAGAACACTGGAAAAGTTACAATTGGAAGTTTTCCACAAACCTTGAAGGGGCCTCTGCCAACACATAAAAGAAGCAGCTCTGGTCCAATGAGATCATGATTGAACTTTCTGAACTTCATCGTGCTGAGGGGAGCTTTTTTTAGCATTGGTCAGCATTGAAAGGAAGAAGACACTTGAGACTTGAGCAGAGGTTCCCTTGTTCGTGGAACTGTTATCCTAAACATAGAGCAAGAGCTGCAGTTGACTGGTTTACCAAAGAGGAATTTGTGAAAAATTGTTCAAATCTGGAACATACACAGGCTTACAACAATAACTTCACTGAAAGGTGGTTTACAAAAGATTGACTCAAATGGGCTGACTGAAAATGTACTCTACACTTTTCAGCCTGTTATGACAGAGGACCCTATTATTTCTGCTACAAAATTATGTACTACTTTATTTAGGTGCATATCATAAATATATTTTTGTAAAGCAAGAGTAATGTTTTTCAATAGACTGCATGCATTGAACTTTAACTGCTTATATAGTCAGTTAACTGCTTTAACTGACTATATAACTCAGACTTACCTCTGACTTATACTGACTTACTTCTAAATAAGTCAGGATTAAATCTGACTTATATAGAGGTAAGTCAGTAAACCTAAGTGTCTCAGTGAGAAAGGGGGTGTTAAATACTTTTTAAAACTTTTTAGTGTTCTTACTTTAACAGGGGAACTATTTTAGAACTCAGAACAGTTCATGTAATGCAGTTACTAAGACCCTAAACTGATAAAGAGCCTTTCAGGTAGGAAACAAAATCAGGTGTTGAGCCCAGAATAACCCTGAGTGCTTCAAAAACAAAATCTTCAGAGAGATTTATGAGGATGGATGTATTTATGGTATCTTTTCATCTTTGCACATTTGACCAGTCCTCAGATGGTTGGAAAATTTATGATGTAGATGGGGGGTGGGGAGGAATGCTTCTCACAGTAGATGTGTTTGACAGTCTTCTGAATAGTCATTGTCGGAATGAGAGGTTTTATGGAACAGATGCCAATCTTTTTATACAATCAGACTAGAATTTCATTATAGAATTAAAGTTCCCTCTCACAAATGAAGACTCTTTCAAAGTAAAGCTACATGGGCGTTCAGTGAATCTTCACTCTTTTACCTCCAGAGTGGATAGTAGCTTACACACAGAGACAAACTGTAGCTTCTCTGACCGCAGGCCTCCCCCACCATTGCTGGCGGCCAGGGGGACACAGACAAGAACTTTGGATGGAAGTTCCATTACCAGACCTAGAAATCCCATTTTGGTGCTAAGTCCAAGCTTCATCCGGTTGAACCTCAAAAGAATCATGATGCCAAAATAAATCCAGACCTGGGAAGTTGCGTCTGGGATGCCTGAGGAATGGCAACAAACATCAGCATGCCCACAATTCTCACTTCCTAAGGGCTGGCTGACTAATCCATGATATTCCTCCATGATCTAAACCTGAAGCTTTCTGTTGCAACAGAACACTGTGGCATTGTGTCCCTTCTTTTAAGGAAGCTGTGATTCATTTACTGGCAAAACCTTTTGGATCTGCACACCATATTTTCTTATATTCAGTACTCTAGTATATTTCATATTTTTAGGACTGAACTGGTTCTTTTGTGACTGTTTGCATTGAGGATCCAGACTCAGATGTCCCATCCAGTCTCTGCTTTTTGAAAGAACAGTAATGTGACTCTGTGTTTTTTCTTTTCTTTTTTTTTATTTTTTTATAAATGTGTCCTTTTCCTCAGAAGTGGGTAATTTAATAATAGGTCCTATAAGAACAGAATGAGTGGAAATAGGAGTATGGTTATTATTTAAAATCCCCCGTAATTACACTCAATCCTGTGAATCAACCACATTGCAGTGTAATGATGCAATAGTGCTCTCTGCTGGCAAAAATAGAAAACACAATGAAGAATCTTTCACTAGAAAGTAACAGTATTTTATTATTATTATTATTATTATTATTATTATTATTATTATATTATTATTATTATTATTATTATTATTATTATTATTCCTCACTATAAGATCATTCCCTAGTTTTGTTCAGGGCTATAATTTTGACACAGTCGCCCTCATCAAAATCTGAATAAAGAGGCTTTTTTTTACACCTGTATTGAACCCTACTTTTCAAATGTATTTGCTTTGCTAAGAGATTCACAGCTTTGTCTTCAGTTTGAGTGTTAATTATATATTTCAAATGTCTTCTATAAGCTCATGTTCAGCAGTTTAAAAATATTTTGCCAGGTTTTGAGAAGACTCACAAAAAGTCATTATGAAGTGACAGATACCAATCTTTTCTTCTTTTCTTTTACCTCCAGGTCTGCTTTGCTTCAGTGCCAGATCCATAGTCCACCATGAGGGTGAAGAGATGAGCTTGCAGCGAGCGGCCCTGTCCCTGCAGTTTCTGCCTCTGGACATTTGCTGAATCCCATTACCCAGAAGATGATGTCCCTGTCTCCCAGATAGCAATTCTGAGGACCAGGCCTTCACAGCACTGACTGTGCATCATGGCAGGAGAGACTCAGCAAATGCATACAGTCAAAGAGCTGGATGCTGAGTCCAAACAGCAGGATGAGGGGACAGCGCTGGAAAAGCAGAGCGACAAAACCACAAAGGCGTCTTCAGAGCACTTTTCAAGCACAGGCACTGAGGTTGGGCTCAGCACCGGAGGGGCCAAGGCTAAAAAACTAGAAAAAGAAAGGAGCTGTCCTCAGCAGCGTGAAGCTGTTATAAGGCCACAGCAGACAGGGAAGATTGACTTCAGTTCACTGCAAAACAGATCGAAATTTGTCACTGACAGAACTTGGTCAACCGGGAAAGGAAGTCCCCAGTCACCAAGTGGAAAGGGTCGTAGCCGAGAGAAGGGGAAGCGGTCGGGAAAGACAGAGCGTGGCAACCCGCAGCAGCTGTACAGACTAAGCATTGCAAATCCACGCACCATTGGCATAGCCTACCCACAACAGAAGGTTCTGCCACCCAAGAAGCTGGAACCTAGCCGTGGCCCAGTCTCAGGCAGCTACAGATTCAACATTCCCACCATGACAGAGAGAGAGGCCGAGCTGCAGCAGCAGGAGCTCAGCTACAGCCGCTACTTCCAGGAGAATCCCTCTAATATTAACTCCACAAGCTATACCTCACAGGCACTGGGTTCCTCAAGCGGAACATCATCACACTCACACCCATCTCTGCCACAGCAACAGAAGAAGGCATCGATGGAGACTAACAGCACGCAGGCTGGTAGTCAGCTGATGATGACCGAGTGTCCACTTAGTGGCTCAAATGTATGGCAGTCGCCGGAACGGACCTATAATGGTGCTAATTATGGGGTTTCATCACAAAAATCCACTGCGCTCTCAGAAACCAGTAAGGCGAGTGCATTTGTGCCTGCTCAGTTTCAGTATGGATATCACTTACTGGAGCAATCAACCTCTGAATCTTTTGCCTGTGAACAGAACCCCCAGCCTCACATCACCCACAACTCTTTTTCCTTCTCACCTGGAAATGGACAAAGCACTTCTCAGAACAGCTCTCAGTTCAGTATCGACCATCAGCAGGATAGAAGCTCGTATCCCAACCCACAACAGCCCCAATATATTCAAGGGGTGGCGTCATCCATCCAGTGTTCCAGAACTCAGAGTGAAGACTCACCCAGCAGTGACAGCTCAGGTTCCAGCTCACAGCAGTCTGAACAGGGGAAGACTGCTCTCCCTGAGAGCTCAGACATGAGTTCTCAGGCAGATTGTCAGGATGCAGCTGTCACATCAGGGAGTAACAGAAACTGTCACCCCAAAGATGCAGCTGCCAGCCAGAGAACACTCATGCAGGCTGGTGTGCATGCAAGAAATATTTCACAGAGTCCAGATTCCCCGATGCACTTTCCGAACAGAACATTCAACAATCCTGCACCCAGCAGCATTCACACGGGTTCATCACCTTTTGATAAATCCATCAACAGTAAGGTTGTGAACAGGCTGCCGCACTCATGGGAGGGAACTAATAAGACATATTCAACATCAGATCAAAACACCATTCAGTACTCTGTCATGAACGAGAAGTTCCAATTCCAGAATCAGACAACGATAGACCACAGGTTAAATTCATCTAAAAGCAACAGAATGCCCTGGCAGCAGATACGGCCAAACTCTGCCATGCCGAACCTCAACAGAATAGAATCATCAAGGCAAATAAACAATCAGAAAATTGCCTACATGGTCTCACCATCTGACTGGCAGGATGAGAGTAAAGTGCACAAGCATAACTCATTCCAGAGCAGCAGAACTGGTGATGTTCTTTCAAACCAAAGACACGAAAGTGTAAAACACAACAGTACCACTGTCTCGGCTTTTAAACTGGAAATGAACCACACCCAGTTATGCGAGGCCAAGAATAAGTCAGGGTACTTTGGACTCAATCAGACCCTTCCAACAGGTCCATCAAGAAACTACAGCTACCCTCCACTACAGGTCCCACCCATGGGGCTATTAAAGGTGTCACCATATGAGTCTCCTTTGCCATCTCCAGTCCATAACCCTGCATCAAGCAGCGCCTGCTCTTCTCTCTCTCCGGCATCCACCAGCCCCGTTAATATTGGCTCAGAAGACAGTCAGATGACAAAGTCAGCCCCACAACATCTGTTCTATCAACCTCCCCAAGGCAAAACTCAGTTGCAATCAGATCACATGAGCACGCATTCCCACCAGTTTCATTCTGACGCTCCACGAAGCCTTTCCTACGTGCCAGACAGAGCCAAAGATGAAACAATGAACTTCCTGCAAAACACCACACACACAAAAGTGGATAGCAGCAAAGGCTACGTAGATAGTTTTGGTGTGGAGCACCACCAGCCTCCTCCTCCATATTCTGCACACCAGCTCTTAGCCAGCTCACTGGCCACTGCAAATCTGGATCAGTTGGATGTTCTCCTGACGTGCAAACAGTGCGATCAGAATTTCAGCAACCTGGCTTCATTTTTAGGCCACAAGCAGTACTGCGCTCAGAACACACTTGCACAAAATGAGCTCAAAGATTTATCAAAGATGGAAGACAGCAGGAAGTTCCATGCAGAACCAGTTAAAGCAGCATTAGCTGTGTCGAGTACTTCTCTTTCAAGGTGTCCATCTGACCTTCACCTGTCATTGCTGGGCCTCAACAAGAACGGAGAACTGATTTCTGACAGTGAAACAAAAGGAGACACCAAAGATGACCCATTAAAGCTGGGTTTGTTCTCTGGTCCCGGTAACCTTCATGTCTCACTGCCGGAGCTGGAGATGGAGGATCCCAAGTTAGACAGCCTAATAACAGAAGCTCTCAATGGACTTGGATATCAGTCTGACAATGCAGAAATAGACAGCAGTTTTATTGATGCATTTGTTGATGATGACCTCACCACAGTAAAAACATCCTCAAACAAAATATGTTTGAAAACTAAAGAATCTGCACTTCCTGAGAACAAAAATAAACAAGCAGCCGATGAAAGATCCTTCACACAGGAAAAGTGTTACAACTCTCATGTTGAGAGCAAAGGGAAAATGGCTCCAAGCTTGCAGGAAGATGAACAAATTAACATTAAAAAAGATGAATCTCATAAAAATTCAGAAATTGACTTCACGGATAAGGCATCAGAACAAGAGAGCAAAGTGAAAGAAACGAGAAAGCTGTGTAAAAGCGCGGACAAAAACATGAGCTCACAAAGGTTTCTCCTATCCGGCAAGTTTTCTGAGCATTGTGGCTTAAAAAGCTTTCAGGACAGCTCTGCACTTCGGGGGTCAGCAGCGTTGCAGGCCTCCACGTCTCCAACCTCGAGAGCTGCAGCTAAAGAAAGCAAAAGGAAAAGCACTGGAGGGGGCACCTGGAGCAAAGAACTCATCCACAAAATAGTGCAGCAAAAAAATAAATTCCACAAGCTTCACGTTAAAGGCACCAAAAATCTCCAGTTTTCCCTAGTGATGGAGCGTCTCACCCCATCAGTGCAGAATCCTGCGTTTGGAGAATATGATTACGTATCCGATTCAGATGATGAGTGCGAGCCTGTGAAGATAGCCAGCCAAGGCCGGCTGAATCAAAGCAGCCGCTGCAAATATACATACACCAAGCAGTGCAAGTGGCGAGCGAGAAGTGAGAGAGACCAGGCGGCATGGAGGCATGAGTCCAAAGAGTGCTTTGAGATGAAGAAAAGTGAGGAGCTGTCTCTAACACCGGAAAAACACCAAAGACTCAGGAGGCGAGGCAGCCGGTCGTCCACGAGCAGCGACCTCAGCACATCCGTAAGCCCCAAAAGCACTGACCGCACTGACTCAGACAGCGAGAGAAAGAAAGACTCTCCAGAGCAGAAACACCATGACAGATCCAGCCCACAGAAGCTTTTTAAAGAGTCCAGTACACTTGCACTGACATTCACTAAATCTGTCAAGAAATATAACATCGACAAGACAAAATGTTCTGACAAAAAAGGTATTGCGGAGGACCCGGAGAAATATTCAAATCAAGAATTTTCCGATCTGCTCCCATCTACACAGAAAGTAAGAGAGATAGACAAGAACTCTGAAAAAAGAGGAAGCTCTCAGGCCAAATCAAGAGACAAAGTTGTGCCTCAGAAAAGTGAAAACAGTTCAGTTGTCAACACCCAGCAGAGAATAGACAATTCGAGCAACAAAGATGGACCAACACAGTGCCACAGCACAGATAAAAAAACTCTGGAGGTTAAGTCACCCCCTCCTGTTATCACAGGAGAAGCTGATTTTAATGTCGACAGAAACACAAAGGACAAAACAGGCGAGGGGCCAAAAACTGCACAGCCCCGGCTATCAGGCGCTGCCACATTGGAGAAACAGAGTGAAAGTGTCTGCATGGTGAAAGAGGCAATTATTTTGGTCAATGATCTAGACGCACACAGACCCCCATCTCTTTGCACATCTTTGATGGATGAGGTGGGCCTGTCCCCGACTGGAAGCCAGAGCCCACTGATACAGAAAGATGCACTCCACCTCATGCCCTACCCCATGGATCAGGAGCAAGGCCTCATCAAATCCCCACTTTCATTCGACACCTCCTCCATGTTCGGGGACCTCACAGCGTTTGACAATGGCCTATACTCGGAGATCCCCATTCAGAAAGATGGTTTTCATTCAGTGGAGAGCACAGCTGACAAAAAGGAAGCATTTGTCTCATCTTTTTCTCCTTTCATGGAACAAAGAGACTGGAATCTCATGGTTAACCCTGTGCTACGGGACGAGATATCCCAGTACAAAGGAATTTCCGAGAAATCTAACGAGAAAAAGTCAGATTACAGTCACATCCCATTGTCTCTCCCAGAGAAAATAATTGACTATAGTGCAAATCTCAGCAGTTGTGCATCAGAGGATGAGCTGGAGATCAAGAGAATAGTAAATGAGCTTGAAAATCAGCTTCAGACGACTAAGCTGGAAAGCCCACCGCTCCTGATCCACGAGGGTCAAAAAGAGCTACAAATGAGCAAATTTTCACCGCTACGAATTGCTGATGACTCTGAGCTTCAACACAATCGGTTGAACATCAAATGCTCAGATCCAACAAACCATCACTCAGAGACTTTCACAAACCCAGAACTCCCATGGCCCAGTGCTTTTCAGTTTGACCTGGTGGGTGAAAATCACAGTGAAGCAGCAGCACTTAAGCATGAGCACCTCCATCATGATGTAAATTTGGGGACCAACAGAGTGGAAAACAACACTCCCGGACAAACAAAAGAAGATATTTCAGAGCAAAGAAGATATGCTGAAAACCTCATGAAAAGCTTGGAGGTAATTTCAGTCTCTATCTTCCAAAAAGAACCTATTATATCGAAACACGAGGAGCCAAATGTCAACTCTCCCACCAGTCAACAACATGAAGAAGCTGAATGTCAGGCCCCTGATGCAGCTGAGAGAGAAGATTGCTGCGAAAAGGAGGTAGTTACCTCCCAGGAGTGTATTTCATTGCTTTCAAATATCAATGAGCAGACGGATGAAACTAAAATCATTCACAATGAGTCGCAGCCATCTGTCCCCGAGGACTCTGACCCTTCACTTGGAGGTAAGCGGTCCGTTTCCTGGCATGAACCTGAAGCCAGAAAAAATGAGGATCGTGACGCAGTAAACAAGGTTGAACCAGATGTCATGTCTGCTCACTGTTCAGCCAACAGTGAGGCAGATTATTTAAATCCGCTGAATAAAAACAACAGCAGAAAAGGCTGCGATGACCCAGAGGCAGCAGAGGAAATCACTCATCAATCTGAGGGTCATCCTTCATCACCAGCCCCAGCTGACCTTACGCAGCAGATTGGTGAGAAAATGGCAGGCGTGATTAAATCAGCACTGGAGCAGCAATACACTAATGACAATAAGAATCCTGAAGACTTCAGTTCGCCACAAGCTGCAGAGTTGAAAGTGAGTGAAATAATTGAGACTTCAAAGCAAGACAATTTGATAGCAATCTCTGCATCTGAAAACTCCAGCCCTTCAAATGCATACAGTAAATCGAATATGTCACTGGAGATGGTTAGCAAAGATAAGCCCTGCAGCCCTGAGCTGGTTAAAACCAATCCAGAAAGGTGCTGCTCATCCCTCCATGACACCCAGTCTGCAGAGGGACAAAGCAATCTGTTGATCCTGTCACAGCCTGACGGCATCATTAACGGCAATTCCTGCAAAGTGACTCCGTTTAATGAGCTGTTAAAAACTGACGCGGGCCTCGTCTTCGCCAAGCAAGAAGAGATTCTCAATGTTCAGGACATCAAAGAGTATCTTCCTGTTGATTTCATGGCAAGCCAGCAGAACTCGCCGTGCAGGGAGGCATCAGAGGAAAGCCGCGTCTTTTTGGAATCTGCCTCGCCGGCCAGTACTCTTTTATTAATTTCTCACCAAACACCCACACAGATATTTGACTCGAAAGGAGATTTAAATGCAAAGAATAAATGCAGCAACGAATTTATTGGCAGACACTCTCAAAATGCAAAATCTCCCGTAATCACAGACAATGAAGGGGCAGCAAAAGGTGATTCGATAAATAGGGCAGCTGATATGGACTGCTCTCTGATAAGCACACCTCAGCTGGACCTCAGAATGATTCCAACATCTGACAGAGTCGGGTCCTCTGCTGTTGCTTTTAGACCTCCAGAGGTGAAAGACGAAGTTGAAAAAGGTGATCTGATGTATGATTTAAAGCTCAGCCCCTTGAACTACAACGACCTCTCAGATGAGCCTCCACAGCTGAATCAGTACGACTACATACCAATATCACCTGCCAGTAAACCGGAGGAAGATTTTGACACTAAGCAGAGACCCACAGAAAGCTGTGAGTCATGTGACCTGAGTGTTAATCCCACAATGATTTTCAAACAAACTGAGACAGAAGCAACGGCGCCACTTGGCTCAGATCACGAGGCTAAACTGCAGCCATCTGATGAGCCCCTGGTCCTACAGCAGAATATGAAATTCAATTGTTTTTCATTGGGTCTCACACCTGTCATTCAAAAGACTGAGTCCTCATGTGATAACACAAAGACAAGCCTGCCAGTGTTTCATGATCCACTTCAGCCTGTTGAGGATTTGCAAATCCAACCTGATCTTCTGACAAAAGCTGCATCAGTTGATCCAGACACTCACAAGGCTCCTTTTGAAGACGCTGCTCTTCCCAAAAAAGCCGAACCATTCGTCATCTGTGAAAATCAGAAAATTCCCCTCCCACCAGAGAAGCAGCTATCAGCAGAGAGAGCCCCGTGTTCAACAGGTCAACAAACACACAAAGAAACAACACACAAGAAGTCACAGAGCAACGATCCACAGGGCAAAGTACTCTGTGAGATTTGCTTCATGTGTTTCCGAACTGTGCCTGGTCTGAAGAGACACAAGGCCATGAAGCATGTAGCCAGAGCTGAGAAATGCACACAGGGCACAACACTGAACCATCAGGGGACTACGCTTATTTATGAAGCGCCGGTGAAAAAGCAAAAAGATGATTCACAGAGGTGTTTCCCAACAACCAAAATAGATGGGCTGCCTGAGCTAAGCGGCTCTCTCATCTCTAAAACGGCGGAGATCGAATCGGTCCTAGAGGAAATACCAACTGAGATGAGCAGCGTGGCAGTGGATGAGATAAGCCATCAAAACCCTCCACTGCAGGCAAAGACAAAGAAGAACAACAAAGGAAGAAAGAACAAGAGCAGTGAGCTCAATCCTGACCCTTTCTCTGACGAGCTCCTGAAAATATTAAAAACAGACATACTTCAAGCCATAACTCCCGAATTTAAAAGCAGTGTTCTGCAGGAGCAAAGCAAATGCCCTGAGGTGAAAATCAGTGAAAGAGCAGTTCCAGAAGCTCTTGGTGAAGAGTTCTTTCACCATGTCGCTGCAGACACTTTTAACAACACAAGCCAAACTCCACCTGAAGAGCCAAATGAGATTAATGAAACTGTGGCGCACAATCAGCTTGAAGAAACTAAGGTGACAGAAATGGCATTTATAGAGACGTATACGAAAAGTAATGTGGAAAGTGCAACTGTAGAGAAGGAGATCATTGGAGATTGTAATAAGACTGAATCGAAAGGAGCCAAGGACAGCCTTGGCTTGGAGATTCTTAGAAATGTTTCAGCAGACATGAAATGCCCTACCAACAACCTACATCCGCCCTCCTGTCTGAATTCGTCCCCTCCCAGTCCGCCAGGCATCAGCTCAGACTTAAGGGCCATACTCGACGACGACACCACATTCTCACAGCTTTTTCCTAGAGATGAGGAAACTAAGAGGAAAAAGTGTCCAAGAGTGTACAGCAAAAGAAACAAAAGACAGAAATTATCAATCTCTTCAGATGCGGCTGCAGATTACCTTCCTCCTGAAATTTTCATACAAAATAAAGACCAATACGTGGAGCCTCACAGTATGCAGACCATCACTGACCATCAAAGTAAGCGCTGTGAATATGAGACCATTTCCATTGATGATGCCATCATGATAAACATGTGTCACAACAACACTATAAAGGCAGACAACAATCCAGTGCCAGATGTTAATCAAAACAATCAGCAGGATGTTTGTGAGGTTGAAAATAATCATTTGAATCTAATTGAAAGCACTGTCAGTAAATCTGCAGCTGAATGGAGCTCATCCAGTGATTTCACTGGCTTTGAATCTTGCCCGGTCGTGACCTCTGAGACGAGTGATTGCAAACATGAAGAGCCTCTGCCAGCAACACCCTGCACGATAGAGCCACATGTTACAGAGGGCGCTCAGTCCTTCCAAACCATCGGTGCACAAAACATCAAAACAGCATTTCAGCTACCCGAGATACAGTACTTGGACTCAGCAAAAGATGCCCAAGTGGCTCCTCTTTCTGAGACGGTAGAGCCAGATGGAAAAGAGGATGAAAAATCCAGGAAAGTGACAGAGCGGCGAGGCAGGAAGCGACAAGATGGCGGGATTAAAGTCAAAGACAAACAGTACAAATGCAAAGTGTGTTTTACCTGGTTCCTCACCCTCGGAGAGCTAAATTTCCATAAGCTGTCCCACAACCCATCCCCTCCTCCCACCTGTTACATGTGTGTGCAGCGTAAGTTCAGCTCCAGAGAGCAGCTGAGAGACCACCTAAGGGAAAAACACGCTAAAAATAAGACAGGAATCTGGACCTGCGGAATGTGTTTGAAGGAGATTTCAGATGTTTGGATGTACAATGAACACTTAAGAGAACATGCCACTCAATTTGCCAGGAGAGGACAGTCTCATGGCTCCATGCTTGGTATTTCTGGATGCTTCATGCAGGAAACGGCTGTGAAGAACTTTATATCCTCGATCATGCAGCAGAGACCCAGCAAAGCCAACAGAGAGTCAAGCAAAGCTACTAAAGAACAGGAAAGAGCAGCTGCAGGAGAAGTAAAAACCTTGGAGGGGGCTGAGACTAGAGCACACAAAACTAAAAGCAGTGGAGGAGGTGGAAAACAAAGCACTTTAACCCCAATCGAGGTCCTCCACAAAACAGAGACGCCGAAAAGTGTCGAGATGCATCCAAACTGCAAAGATCCTTCAAGAGACTGCCACCACTGTGGGAAACAGTTCCCCAAACCTTTCAAACTCCAGAGGCATTTGGTGGTGCACAACCTGGAAAGGATCTTCCTGTGCCACAAGTGCCCCGTTTCTTATCAGGAGGCCCAGGAGCTCAAAGAGCATCTGAGGAGAGCTCACGAGGAGGTGGACGATCTGGATTCGAAGCACACTACTCTTTACACTTGTGAGCTCTGTGCAGATGTCATGCATGTGATTAAAAAGTCTTTCATCTGCAGCACTTGCAACTACACATTCTCAAAAAAAGAGCAGTTTGACCGTCACATGGAGAAGCACCTGTCAGGGGGCAATAAAGTTTTCAAATTCCGGGCCGTCCTCAGACCTGTCAAAGCACCTGCTTCCACAGAAAATGAATGCGATTCACCAGCCAGTAAGAAGAAGAGGCTTCTCTCTGACAGTCTGCAAGAAAACAGCTCAGACAGCGGCATCGCTAGTTTGAGCTCACTACACTTAAATCAGAATGCTGACACGCAGTGTTCAAAGCCCTGCGTGTCCACAGCTGAGGACTCCACTCAGACCGTCCCGAATGAATGCCACGACGATTCAAGCAATGCAAATGTGAAAACGGAGGATATTACTGCAGACTGCTCCCAGTTGCTTGAAGACTTGGAGAACTGCATTCATCTGAGCTCATCCAGATCTGTGACACCCAAGAAAGAGGAACTTGATGTGACTGTGTTACCTAACCTCGATAAGGAGGATGACAGGAAATCGATTACTGAAACGCGTGACGTAAAAGAAGAGGATGAATCAGTTTGCATAAGAGCAGAAGGAACTTCGTGGGCAGCATCTAAAGAAAGTAGCGTGGCTGGGGAAAAAGAGGTAGTTAAAGATAAAACAGATTTGCCTCCAGCAGTTTTTGAAAACTCTTCTGTCTGCTCAACAGAAAATCAAATTTTTCTGCAGACACCTGAGTCTGCAGAATTAGCCGTTGATGAGTTAAACCAGCAGGGGGATGATGAGCAGAGGCATAGCACATTGTCTTCTAATGACACTAAACAGCAGGCATTATCTCATGGTGCTGAGCAAGAAAGTAGCAGTCAGATGAAAAATAATGCCACCCCAGCAACAACACCAGACAACACTAAAACCAGCACTGAAGCTGGATGTGCAAAAACGACAGAAGCAACAGCGGCCCCTCAGTCCAAGGTTCCCCTTCTAGCATCGGCTGCAACCGACGACAAGGACTTGGTGAAACCACAGAAGAGAAGGAAGGACATGAAATCAACAAACAACTTGCAGAGGGTGTCCTCACCTTTCACACAAGAGAACTTTGGTGTCGATTCTAAACCCAAGAAGAAATTTCGTCAGAGCAAGTCTGCAAATCCCTCGCTGCAGAGGAAGCTGGACGGAGCCAACGAGTATCCCGTGCTCTCCTCTGTACGGGATGATGTTGTTGGCAACAAAATAATTTCCAAGTGCAAGAATGTAAACTTGAGCTTGCAGGCAAAAAGAGGTTTGCTTGAAAGCTGCACGCCAAAGAAGCCCGACACCATTACACCTCAAAACACGGAGTATAAAGCCAAAAGGGGACCTCTTGGGAGATCTGTGCATTCTCCTGTGTCTAAAGTGCCTTCAGTTCCAATGAACAATTCTTTAAACAAGCCAAAGCCAAAGATGGGGGTCAGGGCAGTGGAGAGTAACTCTTACCGGACAGCAGAGTCACAGAACCACATTTTGAGTCAGTTGTTTGGTCAAAAACTCACCAGCTTTAAGATTCCTTTGAGGAAGGATACATCCGAATCTATAAACTGAGGGGGCGGGATGGGGATCTGTGAATAAGAGTCTGTAAATTTTTGCAGTTATAATTGTTTAAGACAAGTCATTATGGTGAATGAAATTGCACAGCTGTTTTCTGTGAAATACTACCGTTAATTACATCCGTTGTCACTTTATGTCTTCTTATGTACATGTTTTTTTATTACACAAATGTGAGGACAAATGACAGATAGATAGAAACTAAATATTTAATTGGGGACTTTAACATCACTTGCATAAAGGAGACTTTAAAAAAAAAGAAATAAAAAATCATACTTGAAAACAAAGTAAAATAATGTTTTTTTAAGTAAAGCATCTCCGTTTTTACAGAAGTTACATTATTCTTTTAGTCTGTTTTGCTAAAGGACCAAATTGTGCCGTACCTTACTTGGACATTTGTGCACCTTGGGTACATGCTTCCAACCTTTTCATTTTGTATTGTTTTTACACTTTACTGTACTAGGTTGACATTCATTATTATAAGGCTTTTGTATAAACACCTTGGTGCTACATGTTGTTTAAATGTAATGTGAACGCCCATGTCCTCAGAAGGGAGATCAGTAGTAATTACAACATATACAGCCAACTGTTTTTCTACTTTATTGAACATACTGTATAAACCCAAATCATTCATATGTAGGCAGATAAAACTCAAAACTTACAACAGCTTCTGGTGTATACATAAACTCAGGTGCTGATGAGGACATCGCAGTCCCTGGACCTGTATTTGGAGTTCTTTCCATGCACTGATAATACCACACACAAATGACAAACTCATTTATCTGTGTCTGTAACTCCAAATGTTTAATTATTAATAGTATTTACTTGGACAACAAAGGTGCTTTATCTTGTTTATACTGTATGTACCTTCATTGTATAGTATTGTAGGTAGAATATTGTTTGATGTAATGCTTCATGACAAAGTTTTATTTTAATAATGTGCAAAATGAATGACATTGAAAAGAAAGGGAAACTGCTTGCCTTCTTGCAGGTTGTAAAGTGGTTCACTAAGTGCCTGTTTTACAGTTTGTTATTAAAGATCTGTATTGGTCTCTTATCGCTCTTCTCCTCCTTTGTTCTTGAAATGTTTTGCAAATGTTTCCTGCTTCCCCGCGGACGGCATCTGTCACAAAATGCATCAAACAGCCGAAGCAGTGGAAGCTGCTTGTGCCTGGAGGCAAAAAACAGGTGCACACAAAATAAAGTCTGACTTGATTTTTTTTTTTCTTTTTTTCTTTTTTCTTACTCCCTCTCTCAGATGAGCACATCGTCGTTTGGAAAATGAGCAAAAATGTACCTTTTTGACTACAGGGAAGCATTTAATAGAAGACAGATACATTTATCTAGTTGTGCATATGTCTCCATGAGTGGCCAGCGGCTCTCGCTTGTGTCGAGTTGCTCTCTCACCACATGTAAAACGGCTTCTATTCCTACATGAATATTTTTCATCCTCACATAGGAATAAAAAGCCATATTACACCATGGCTTGCATGTAGAACTCAAAGACACCAAACATGGAGGAGAGTCTCACATCTTCCTGCTCCTGAATTATCATGAGACCTGAGGAAAATAGAAGAAAGAAGAAACCATATAAAAAAGAGGATGTAATTTTATGCTTATAAAAAACATAGAACATGTTTATATTAAAAAACAAAACATACTGGTGAACATAGTTGCTATATGCGTTTTATGTAACAAATAGCTCAGAAATGGATTGCTACATTTTAAAATTATGAAGGAAAGTTTTTCTGTTTTAATTAATTTAGTATTTCTTTCTAAAAAATATATATTGTTTAGTTTTTCTCCTTATTTAGAAAAACACATTTTTAAGATCATATTAAATTGTTGAAGTTCTAAAATAAAGACCTCAAATTGAACTTTCTGTTTTGGATAACAAATTTTGAAACATGCTCTAATAAGACAGTAGAATCTGTATTACATGACATTTGCAGTGCAAGAACCAGCGTCACACTCATCAAAATACATTAACACAAAAATAAATAAAGTGATTGCTATCGTTTACAATTGGTGATCTAATTTGCATTATTACCACTCTTCTGTTGCCTGCTAATGTAGCCATCAATCTGAGTCTTGATACAAAGTCAGTGTGAGGAAAACAGTGTTGCTCAAATCACTCTTTAATTAATTTTGGTGGGAATAGCAGTCAAGCCACAAAGAACATGTGAATCCAGGCATTAAAACAAGCCTCTACCGTGGTTCATCCCTGCTCCTCTACAGAGTTATACATGTTATCAAAAGTCTCTACAGGATGGTTGAATTGAAATTCTCAACAGAAGGTTGGCAGGTATGTTACATTTTGACCTTTTGCCACGGTCCAGTAAAAGTCATGAACAGCATACGAAAGATATAAATTCACTCCCGCTCTCCTCAGGCAGCTGTCAGGACGTTTTTTGCAGAGATAACGACTCACACAGAAATCACATGATTTCAACACCTCCTTTAAATTAAATATGGAAATGTTGCATTTATCCTTTTTTATGTGTATTTGATCAGAATATGTCCAATATTTGGTTTAGCAAATTTCTGCTGATATCAATTATTATTTCCATCGGAGGTGAAATCACACAGGGTTTGCAAGAAAACAATAATGTAAAACACAACGTTCCTCTTTTTAAAAAAAGATAGCATTAGTTTTTGACAGTTTTATGCCTCAACAACATTGCCTTGCATTGTTCTGTCTTCCTGTTATCTGCTGAAAGTTTGGTTCTCTCATGGCTTCCATTAACTGTAGACAAACTTTGAGAAACAGTTTTTTTCTTTCATTTGCTTCATACATGTCTATGTTGTCTTCCAACTTCAGAACACCTCGGTGATAATAACAATAGTTTGAAGCTTATTCACTCCGTAGCAGAATGTTGTGGTTAGCTCCATCGTATAGCTTAACCATGGTGCTTTCACTGATCAGAAAATTCTTCCCTGCCAATCGGTCATTGATCAAATCAAAATCAGATGTGCTCACCACACAACTCTAAAACTACTGATTAAAAAATGATATATATATATATATTTTTTATTATTTTTTTTTTTTTCCTCAGCAAATGTGGCCAGCAAAAAAGTTTTATTAATTATCTGTTGTTGAGCAGTTTTTGGAAAAGCTCAGCACAGCTCTCTGTAAATCTTGAAAGAAAGGGATAATCACTTATTTTTTTAATTTCTTGTAGAATCTGTATAATTCCCACGGAAGCCTTATGAGGATTTTTTCCCGGAAATGAGGCACAGTGCCCCGTTTCATTTTTGCAGCCTAAAAATATCATAATCAGTAATGAATCAGGGAACTGCTATTCTGCTTTTTTACAGACAAAAACTGGCTGCCTGCGTGCGTCTAATTGGGCGAGCAAGCTTTGACTGACACTATAATAATTGAAAAAGGATTTTAATGGAGCCTTTCCTGATTACGTTGACATACCTTGGTGATTTTCAGTTGATATCAGTCGACATGTTGCTGTAAATCTGCTGATGCGTTGAAAGACAACTGCTGCGCTTTGCAACAAAAGCATCAAACGTTCAGCTGTTTAGTTCTCAATCCCTGTCTTCAATACAACTGGTTTTTGAATCCTTGACAACATGAATGGAAGAGAAATGGAGGGAAAGCATGGATAGCCGTCTGTTGGTACTACTGCTGTGAATCATCTGAATGCACTTTTACACCATAATTAGAAAATAAATGACTAGTCGTGGATTATAATTAGATTTTACGTAATTACACAAATAAGGCACTGAAATACACAAGCAGCTTGATCTCCTTCTGATTAATACGGGTGTTTTCTGAACAGCTCAGTCAACGTGTTCTGTGTGGTAGAAATGTGACCAAAAACGTGCAGAATGAAATTTCTGCCTGAATAAAAAGTTACGTTTTGCTGCTTCTTCAGAGAATCCACGGTTCTTTTTTTTTTTTTATGGATTAAAATACATTACACCACAGGAATCTTGGCAGGTCAAGGACTCATTCATGAGCACGGTGCCCTGAAGGCTGCATGATTGATGAGTTCAGTGACGTCAGAGCCGTCAGCAAGTGCAAGCAGAACGCATGTGGATCACATGTCACTGTGTGAAACTGAAAGAAAGTGTTGCTTTTACCTTTTCCATCTATCTTCCCGATGATCATACTCTATTATTGATTAAAGAAAGTTGGAAGCTTTTATGTTTTCATAAATATTTGTTGCGTCTGCACCTGGTTTTTACCTTAACCTCGTCCCCTGCTTCTTCTTTGTGCGTTGGTAAAAATCCCCCCCGCGGGCCTTCTGGTCAGGAGCTGTGGTTGATGAAGAAAGAATTAAAGCAGAGACTTCAGTGTGTTTTGTCAAAGTTTGGCCCAGAATGTGTCACACAGAGTGAGTGGGAGCCCCACACACACCCCACTGTCAGGCGTCTTTTTATCATCTGATATACGAGGGAAATTCTCCAGAGGCACAGTTATGCAGGAGCATGACAGGAGCGCTTTGCACTTTGAAGTAGAGTGACATTATCAGTAAGTATGGTCTTGAAATAGCATCTCATCTCTCTCTCTCCCTCCCTGCCTCTCTGCCGTTTCTCTCCCGCATCTATTTTCCTCAGCCGCCACCCTCATTTTCCCGCTCTTCCCTTCTCTCTCGCTTTTCTTGCCTCCTCACCATCAATTTCCATTTCTGTATCTCATTCCCTCTTCCCGTTTTTCCCCGTGCCTCTCCCCATTATCTTCTGCCTCCCTTTATCTCACTGAAACTGTTTTTTTTTTTTTTTTTTTGCAGTGTTTCACCTCTTTTCCCAGACATCCACCTATTTCTCTGCATCCATCTCCATTCCCTCACTTTGTATCCCCCTGTCTCGCTCTGGATCGTGCTGCTGGCTGCCTCTCAGGGAGGTCATGAGATCAGGGTCAGATAGAGATGGGCTGCTGGTCAGCGGTAATGACACGTGGGCTGAGAGGCCGCTCGGGTTGCTTCTCCTGGGGATTTGAGGCTTTAGCAGTTGCAGGGAGATAGATAACCAGATAGAAAGATGGGGAAAAAATTTGTTGCACCAAACAGGAGGGATGGGTGAGCGTCCTGTTTTCCACACATATGGGAGCGGGAGGTCAGTCGCAACAAATGTGAATTTTGATGTCTGTAATCATTTATGTTTAGCACAAGGATGTTGATGAGTAATTAATCAGGAACAAATAGGGTAGAAGTAGCACCTTTTCCTATTTTTTGGGAGAAATGTATGTTCCTTGAAATATACACTAAAATATGCAACCCACAGAAAAGTAGTAATGTGTAATAGCAATAGACAGTTTGGTTAAGATGTGACTATTTCTTTTGGAGGCTTTTTTCGATCTCTCCTGGACCTTCATTGTAATTCAAATCAACAAGTGTGATCAGCAAGAACAAAATGAACTTCTAAGCATGGGTGCCACCAGGGAGGACAAACTAGACAGTCGTATATCCTTCCGATTCTTTTATGCATAACATTTTGAGATAAACTGAATGGCTTTAATAAAATACAGCATTTATTTGTGTATTTATGTTGATATGACTTCCTTTTATGTCTTTTATTGACCCTTTAAAGATAATATTCCCCATATTCATGTCAAAAATGAGGAGAGATAAAGTATTTTAAAATTAGAGGCAAAATCTTTCAGAGGTTAAACAGGCATATTCAATTACATCAAATTGGTTTATATTTGACAAAAATGTAGTTGAAAACAAGAGGTTTTTGTTTCAGTTGGAGCTCAATTTCAAGATAGATCAATGTACCTCCACCCTCCAGATATGGCATCTTCGTACAAAACTTTCTGGAGGCGCCCCATGCCAGTGCTCAGAAAATACATTTAAAGTAATGCTAAGCTGGCTCTGGATTCTCGAATGAATGGCCTCTCTCCAGGAAGTCATGGTCTCTTCCTGCCAACAGAGCCTTTATCAACTCGACCATTTGTCATTTCAGTCAGCACCAGGGGAGCAAACAGGCTGCACACAATGGCCAAAAGTACCTGTGTCGATGTTCCAGGTTTACAGAAATAAATGGTGTAGCTTTGCAAAGGGCTGCGCAAACAAATGAAAGGCTTTTAGCGCGAGTGGA